TTTGTTTCATCTCACATCAGGAAGTATGTTTTAATAGATATAATAGAAAATAATTATGTCATTTTAGATATAGAAACTCCATCATCTTTTTCATCAGGAATTGGCTCTGACTCAAATGATCAAGAATCATCAAATAGTATGCTTAGAAAAAGTTTTTAGAAAACTAAGTTCGAACAGCTTTTCCGTTGATTAGGCAAAGAAGAATAAACTCTTTCTTTTTATTTCTATTGAAGTTTTTCGATATTTCGTTGTTTAAAGACAGTTTCTTTAGAAATGTTTTTTAAATTCTTTTTAATTGGATTTCTAGTTACTTAAATGTGCGTGAATAGAGAATGGGAGACGAACAGAAGAGAAGATAGCTAAGAAAAGGAGGGTGATATTCCCAATTAAGGTTCGTTGGGTTGGTCACAGACCTAATCAGGTCTGAATCCGAAAAATTTTGACTCTACAGATCCTACACATACCGTCTCCAACATATTGTGAATAAATAGTAGAACAGAAGACAGTGATAAATGAAGAAGAAAAAATATTTTCAAGTTTCTTCTTATTCTTCTATTCCATTATCTATTTACTCTATGTTAGAAAGGGTACACATCTCATTTATTGCTGCGATCCTCCTTTTTTTCCAGTTCTCTTTTCCTATGTTCTTCTTCCTCTCTTCTTCTCCATCTCTATTTACATGCATTTAAATAGCTAAACTTTCATTTAACAAGAATCATAAATAAGTTTTTGAAAAAGTTGTCGTTCGAAAAAAAAAAAAAAAACTTCAATTTAAAGAAAACGAAAGAGTGTATGTTCTTTTTAATCCAATCAAGAAAACCTTTCTAATTATTAATTAATTTTCTTCTTTTTGCTGTTTCATTAGGCTTGACTTCTCCAACAAATATTGAATCAAATACAAGACGTCTAACAATAATAGCTCAGCCATGCTATGGCGGAAAATTACGTTATCGTTCTGAATTTGAAAACAATAAAAATCGTTTAAGTGTTCTTAGGAATAGAAATAAAAAGTCAAATTTCCAAGGTCCTGCAATTCTAGTAAGTTCATTTATCATAATAATTTATTACAAGAATTTATTTTATTAGATTCCAGAAGAGTATCGGATGCCAAATGATCAGTATTATATTCGTGTTTCTCTTGTAACAGTTACATACAATAAAACCAATTTACACTATTTTCATCCATATGAACTTGAACATCCTTCGAATGAGGAAAGTAATGATAGATATGATAATTCAGTTTGGTTTCCGATTCAACCAGAAGATTGCCTTTTGGGTATTAAAAGGTATTAGAAAAAAAAAACAATTATCCAAAATATTTTCCATAGTTTTTATTTTAAATACTTTCTACTATTATTTAGTTTTCCATCATTACGTATCGTAAAGAAACGAGCTTGCCATTTACCAACGTGTTCAAATTTACGCATATTTGATTGTCATAGTAGGTTTCCATTTATTTCATGAAAAATGTATAATCAATCAAATATTTATTATTCTTAGATCAAAATGTACGAAATGATTTGTTGACACAATTTCCTCGTCCAAAAGACATAATTGATGAATATAAGCTTGATCAAAGTCAATTAGCTTTTACTGTTGCAAAAAAAGAAACTATTGGTGATCGAATTGAGAAGAATATTTATCCAAATACAACTGTTTATTCCGAAGAAATGGTTGAAGGTGTTGATATTGAATCAACTGTTGACAATAGTATGCAATCAACAACTGTGAAAACAAATTCATCAACTTCTAATTGTCGTGTCTATAAATATGCACCTAAATGGGGTTTTGATACAAGTAATGAAGACATGCTTATTTTTTTAACAAATAAGCCTGAACCAAAAAAATATGGAGGTTAGCACTCAATAAAAAATGAAACAAATATTATAATTTTATTTTTATAACCTAATAGAATTACAAATTACCTTTGAATGTGATCTACCAAATAATCATTGGTCAGAATCAATTGGTAATATTGATATTAAAGATCGAATGATATCATTTAAAACACCAAAATTTCCATATCCATTCGAGATGATACAATCAGTTAATGTCATATTAAAACAAAGTAATCGTACTTTAGGAACATTAACATATCACTATATGTCACCATGTAAAATCATAGATCGTTTTGGAATTTAAAAAAAAAATCAAATACCTTCCTTTTTTGCTCTGTCTAGTGACTCAATGTTTAAGATGTCAATCAAATGCTGTTGAAAATCAAACTGATCCAGTGCCAAATGTACCAAGCAAACGTACAATTTCTATGATTGATAAAGATGATTACGTATTTGACAGTATTGTACCAGATTTGAAAAATACAGATAAACTTCAGCAATCATTATCAGAACCGGTGAGTTATATCAGTAGTTTTTGAATGAATTATATAAATTTAAAATTACAGGAATCATCGTTATCATCAGCTACTACATCGAATTTTAGTAAGAATCTTTTGTTTTTATGACATAGTGAGCATTGTAGATAGAATTCAGCAAATTTTTATAGTTTTGCCGTTAGTTTTGTTATTTTAAAGACTGAACAACTGTAATATAATAAGATAATAAGGCGAGATGATACGAACGACTTTAGTATGTTCAGTACTAATAGCACTCGTCTGAAATTCCGACTGATTTCATCAACCCCTGAGGATTCGAGATCTAGGTTTCTATTCGTCTTACTGCATATCATAGTTTCATATCAACAAATGTCTATTGATTTGACCTAGGACTCGAGCAATTATTTTAGTATGAATTTAACTAGGAAACGTTTTCAACTAATCAGTGACTTTTTAAACGAAACCTATTAAATTATTGATTATCGACTATGCTAATTTCGAATATGACCATGAGAAATCTCTTTGCGTCTTCATATGCTAGCTTTTTTAGAAAATCAATTTCCGGTGCTAATAAACTTTTCCCTAAAAACTTTTTAATCATCTTTCCAGATTGTAGAGCATATTGAATTGACTAGAAAACAAACAATTTTTCTGTTTCAATTCATTTTTTTGCAGAATATATAGCCATTTTAATTTATATAACCAATACATACCAGAGGTGTCAGTGCGCTGAGCCAAGCCTGGTCCAGCTTAGGTCATGGGCCAAACCTTGACGAAAAAAAAAATTTCCAAAGCTGTTGCGTCTTACTATTAAAATTTTCTTTTGAAAGTCTCATGCAATTCTTTTGCTGTCTAAAACATTTCTGCAATGGATAACAAATATATAAAGGGAAATAAAGAAAAAAATTCAATTGTCGCTACCTTAAAAAGCTTTCTTTATACGCAACAAAATGTCCGAACCTTTTCAATGAATAAATTTTGTTAAAATTCTTTCTTCAACTACCGGTACTAGTTCATTATCACATTCAAAACAGTATCTATTGGAGCGAATGAAATCTCTTTTGAAATAAAAGTCATCGACATATGCTGCTACCAAAAATGAAAAAACAATTGTAATTTTATGTCGCAATGTTTTTAGTTTTCTCACTAAGAAAATTAGAAAATACTTGTGAATCCAAGAAAATTGAAATTCGTGAGAGTTATCGAATATGCTGCCGAACATTTGTCCATACATCAACTACTGGTATTCGATATACGTTTGCTTATTCATGTGATAGAGGTTTTTCAATGCAATTCGATAAATGACCCATGGTCATTCATGAGTGGATCATTTTTTTAAGGAAAATATATGAGCTGGGCTGGATAGACGTTCAGACCTCTAATACATATCAAAATTTCAATTGAAAAATCTTCAACATGATATTATATTGCTTAAAAATTAGCTTTCAAAAATCAGAAACGATTACTGAACTTATAGAAAATTCTATTTGCTCGAGAATCTGAGTAGATCAATAACGATTTTAGCAAAGTTGTTTTTTTTGTTAATCTGAAAAACTAATTTTCTATAAAATCAGCATATAAAGACATAAGAGAATTTCTTATAGTCATATTTTGAATCACCATGCTCAGTAATCCATAATCTAGTAGCTTTTCATGAGAAACTCCGTGTTCAGTTCGAATCATTCCCTCATAAACTGATTCAAGTAAAATAAATACTCCAATAATCTTGGATGAATGTTAAAGAACGCACTATTTATTTTCATTTTAATATTTTAGGTTCTCTATCATCACTGAAAACTGATGAAACAAGTAAAGATGCAAGTATAGACGTGATAGATAAGATTCGTGATGCTGCTGAACTATTATTTCTAAAAAATGACTATACATTGTTTCTACGTTTATGTCGTTCATTCGTTAAGAAACGTCCAAAATTACTTCACGATGCTCTCGATAATAACTACTTTGATCTTTTATTAAAATTCATTCCAATTGCTACAATTGAGATTCTTCAACTAAAAAATGAACTCGATGAAACTTTTCTCTTACATAGTTTACGTCTAAATCGTATAGAAATTATTCAAGCATTATTGGAACGAAAAAATTCCGAAAAAATTATCGAACATATTGATGAAAACAAAAATAATATTTTTCATTTAATTGCATCATATTCAATTTCACCAGAAATACTTGATTTATTAATTAATTATCTTCATGAAAAATCAATTTCTATTCAAGAACAATTTGATCATCTTAATCAAGATAGTCAAACACCATTACAATTAGCTATTTGTAAAAATAATCTATTGGCTACAAAATGTCTTTTGAAATATTCTAATAGTAATATACATGACAAAAAGAATCGTACAGGTGATAATCTTATTCATCTTGCGGTTCGTCATGG